CCCAAAGGCAAGAGATACGGAACCAGGGCAAAAAAAAGACTAAGACAGACAGATACACAGACTAGACAGGCAGATCAGAAAGGCACACAGAGCAAAGAGCCCTACCTCACTGACCTACCAGCATTGACAGGTTTGTCATGAGGAAGCACGTGAAGGAAACTTGTCTTGTCTTTGATGTTCCTGAGGTCCCAGATTTTGACTGTCTGGTCCACAGAGGCTGTGGCTAAGAGCCAATCGCAGCGAGAGTTAAACTCCACATGAGTTACTTTCTTCTTGTGTAATTTCAGCTTCCAAATCTGCAGTGGAGGAAACAGAATATGAGATGCACGTAGGAAATACAAAGCAGGTAGACACAATGCCTACCAGAACAAGAGCTATTCAGCACTGCTTTGGTACAGATAGTCTAAGGGATCTAGACATTGGAGAGTGGAGCACTCATCTCCCTGGATACAGGGCAATGCTGTTAATTCAAAAGGTTCTAGAGGCTGGGGGCGAGGGGCAGTGCTGGCTAGCACTGCAAATCCCACAGGAATGAGCTGACCTTCTATATTCAGGAAAGGAGAAAAAATATGCAAGCTACCACAGTGGGTCTGACTTTATAGATTCATAGATGCTAGGGTCAGAAGGGACCTCAATGGATCATCAAGTCCAATCCCCCTGCCAGTGGCAGGAAAAAGTGCTGGGGTCATGTGACCCCAGCCAGGTGCTCGTCCAGTCTCTTCTTGAAGACCCCCACTAAGACATGACTGCGGTATAAGTCCACGCCTAGACTTGAACCTGGGTCTTCCCTCTACCCAAGTGAGTATCCTACCCATTGGATTAATCTGAGTTACCTTGATAGTATGCAAAGCCAGTGCCTTATCTGGTGACACTGTCCACTGACTGACAGCCACAGTGCCTATAGCTCTTGGGGTGGCCTAGGCCCAGACCTGTCACCCCTGCAAGCTGGAGCAGTGATGAGTAATGAGTCATTATGCAGTAACAGCAAAAGGGTAGTCTTGCAGGCAGGGCCCACTCTTAGAGAAATTCCCAGGCTGGGCTCTAAGCAGCTTTCCAGTTTCAGGTCCTGGCAGTGGCAGTCTGCTTGCTCGTGCAGAAGCAAGACAGTGCAGTTCCTGTCCTCCTGACCTTTGCCAAGTTGAACCTTGGAACTGGGAATTCCAAGGCTGGATCCTGCTCTAACTGGCTCCATTCCACTACAATTCCCCAGGGAACTTTCTGCCATGTGTACTCCATTGCCAGAGGCCTTTTGTCTACAGGATGCCCCTAATACTGTTCTTACCAATAGCCAAACACTCAGGGTGGGGGGAACCTCACCATGTAGTCCCTAATTTAGAATCACTGTTTGGGAGATTTCCAGTGAACTCATCTTGGGAGCAGGGAGAGGCAGCACAGCAGATGGAAACAAATGCCCTGAAGCACAGGGTCCTTCTTGCTCCCTCCCCTTCCCTGCATCTTGCAGCAAGGACCGTTTATTTTTTGCACAAAGAATATACAAACCATCAGTGTCTCCAGAAAAGGGAAAATGCAGAGAGTCATTCAAACCTCTTCCCCACCAGTGCTGAGCAGGACCACATTACCCACGTTATCACCTGTCACCACAGTCCGGCAGCTTGCAGACACATCAACACTGCAATACCAGAAACTAGAAGGAAAAGCAGAGAGGTCAGTGCTGTCCCCTGCAGTCAGGGAAGGTGAGGGGTGCCCCAGTTTACACCCTCCCTGACTCTCTGTAGAGTGAGGTTGCAAAAGATTGAACCACTGGGCCAGGGAAAGTTCACCAAGGCATCATCAACTTGGTGACAGAGGAAAGGTGGGGGAGTTGCACTCTATGTCAAAGAACACCTCACATCATCAAGGATTAGCTTCGGGTTAGAGGAGGGTCAGGCAGAGACACTACGGGTCAAACTACAATGGAGGCGTGGTGAAAGGGACCTTACGGTGGGTGTCTACTACAGATCACCAACCAGGGGGGAAGAGCTGGACTAGGACTTCTCCAGTCAGCTTATGGAGGCGGTTAAGTCAAGGGATGTTATTGCCATGGGTGGTGCACAGGAGGTGCACAGCCCCACTAGGGATAACACCTTGCTGGACCTGGTCCTGGCCATGGGGGATGACCTGGTGAGGGGACTGCAGGTCCTTGACCGCCTGGGCAACAGCGATCATCACCTGCTGGATTTCACTATCCAACGCAGGGTGACAAGGGCTAACACCAAGGTTAAAGCCCTTGACTTCAGAAGGACCAACTTCAATGAGCTTAGGAGACTAGTGGCACTGAGGGCTCAGAAGGTAGAGGAGATGGGAGTCCACGAGGGATGGTCGTATCTTAAGGAGGCGATCCTCCAGGCCCAAAGGATAACAGTCTCTGAGAGAAGCAAGTGGGGTAAGAGTGCTCAGAAACCCCCATGGCTCAGCAAGGGCATTCAGCAATGCCTAAGGACTAAAAGTGGGGTGCACAACCAGTGGAAGGGAGGATCTAACACCAAGAAGTACTCCTCCTCGGCCCGTGAGTGTAGGAGGGCTATTAGGAAGGCCAAGGCAGAGATGGAACTCAGGCTAGTGTCCAGGATGAAGGACAACAAAAAGTCCTTTTTCAAGTACATTGGGAACAAGAAGAGGGCACCAGGCAATGTATGGTCCCTGCAAGACACAAACGGTAATCTTGTGGCTATGCCAGACAGGAAAGCTGATATTTTTAACAGTTTCTTTGCCTCTGTTTTCTTGAACAGGGACCAGGACATCCCACCTACCAGAGGTTGGGACAATCTTGGGGATAGCTCTGTCAGGCCTTCAGTCAGTGCAGACGTAATTAGGGATCTTCTAGAAGGGCTAGACATTTTTAAATCTGCAGGTCCAGATGCCCTCCACCCAAGGGTGTTGAGGGAGCTGGC